TGTTGGAAAAGCTAGAAGAGGCATCAATAACGTTTTTACGAAACTTAACGAACCGTGTGATCCAAAAAATTATTCGAGTAGGTTGTGCAGCGCACATTCTATACAATACTATTCAAACAACATCTGACTTACTTCCCGTGGATGTTGAAAATATTATTTCAAAAATCTATTTGCATTTATATATATATTTCAAGCAAGGTAGTAATAACAGTTTTGAAAAACTAATTTTGGTCTAGAAAACATCTTGCGCAATATGCTGCAAAATAAGTAAAATATAAAAAAATGTAGTAAGCTCCCCTAAAAGTTACCAAGAGCTGCTGCTCCAAAAAGTTCAACACGTTTTAAAAAATTAATACATATGAAAATCAAACCATTAAACATGTAAAACATTAAAAAAACAGAGTCAGATAAAAAGGTAAGCGGAAAATGGTAAATTAGCCCAACTCGACTTCCAAACTGGCTTTGCAAGGGAAATTTCATTTATTTGAACGTCGAATCAAGCTAACCCCATTACGCGTTTCGCCGAAACAGACAATTGAAACTTTTTCGCTACAAATTTTTTTTTTTTAATTTAGACAAAGTGTCTTGGAAATTTTAATAGTCTCAATTCTCTGTTCCAATTTCCCGACGCGTCCGCACAGAATGACACATTAAGGTGTTAAAATATGTTAAACAATACCTAAACATCTTAAATCTAGACTAAAATCGAAATTAAAATCAAAAATAAAATAAAAATAAAAACGAAAATAAATAGCAGTCAGCTATTAGTCCTAAATATACAAAAACATACGGGCTGGGCCTGCAAGCTTAAAGATTAACAATTTAATTTTTATATTTTAGAAATCTGTAATGAAAAACTGTAATTAAAATAAAATAAAAGAAAAGAAAATTAAGATGAGAACAAACTAAGTGGGTCTTGCTAAAACCAAGAAAAAGTTGTAACAAAAGAAACAAACAAAAAACTGACCTGTGGCGATGCAAAGCTCTCCCTCTTAAAACTAGTTGAAAAGTGTTGTTGCAATTCCCTTTCCTGTGTTACTTCATACAGAAGTGTGACGTATGTAGGGGGGAGCGAAGTTCTGTGGGCATTAGCCAATTACGAAGAGATTTTCCGTTATCTGCAACTCGTTCTCCTATTATCGAAGAGGGTTCGGAAAACCTCGGAAAAAACGTGAAAAAAAATCTACAAAAATGGCGCCTGGCATGTAGCTGGAATGGAAAAAATTTTTGACTCGAAAGTGAAAATGGCTAATTCAGCTAACACTACACAAAACTTGGCCAATTAAAGCAAGAGTAAAAGGAAAAAACAGTCATTTGTTAAAAAAGTCGTAATTCTTCAAGCTAGCGGGCGATCAAGCTACTATGAAAAACGAAAAGGCCCGATTTGTTAATAAAAGCAGTAAAATTGGCCATTATAGAAATTTAAAACTATGTACACAATAGTATTTAAAATTAAAGTGTCAAAATTTTGGAGGAAAGAGAATGAATAAACAAGAATTATCTGTACATTTTTACAATAGATTCTCTGAATTAGTCATCCATCTTAAACCATCCGTGGCTTTAGGCATAAAATATCATTATCTAATTCAAAAAATCTGATTCTGTTTTTTTATTAATGTTTTACATGTTTAATGGTTTGATTTTCATATGTATTAATTTTTTAAAACGTGTTGAACTTTTTGGAGCAGCAGCTCTTGGTAACTTTTAGGCGAGCTTACTACATTTTATATATATATACTGTGCATGTCGAACGTTTGAAAGATTTTTGTGAAAGCGCAGAAATCAAATATAAAAGAATTATTGGTTACAGCAAAATACTCTTTTACCAGCTGTAGAAAATATTTAAAAATATACGAACCATTAAATTCCTACTTTTTATCACAAGATAAATGTCCAAGAATATTGCAGCTGTTTTTCGAAAATGACACATCACAAATTTGTCTTCAGTTCATTCACAACCAAGCTACATTATTTCAGAATGCAGTGAAAATTATAGAAGGGGACAAAATTTCAATTACGGAAGTGCAAATGAAATCAATAATTTAAAAACAAAATTGCGAGAAAGAATTGATAACAATTACGTTTCTTTAGTTATTCGAAAGGGCATCGCATCACAAGGTTGGAAGAACAAGGTGCCACATTAAACGACCTGATTTTCTGAAAGAAGTCAGAAATTCTTATAATAACTGCTTGGAATATCTTGAAGAACAGACAGTTCAATTCGAAGATATTAAAAACTTTCATTGGACATTAAAAAAGGAGATTTTATGGGAATATGTGGAAAAATCTTTTTAATATATTAGTAAACATTTTCCGAAAAATAATATTTGCCAAAATGATCTTTTTGATGAGGTGTCATTGGTAAAAAGATACGTTACTGATGAAAAAATTAAATGTTGGTTGTCTGCAAATGTAGAACAGACAAAAAATGGACGGAGTTATTCCTTCATTTTAAACAGAATAATATTCCTTATGAAAATATTTTGAAAATTGTAGAACACACGCTCTCTGTAGAAAACTTTCTATACTATAAATTCCAAGTTTTGTAAATTCTAAAATTCAAGGGTTTCATAAGCATTTGGACTCCGGCATGTTCTAAACTTTCGTGCTTATATATAATGAGAGCTTTCACAACTGGATGATGGGATGGATGTATAATAGGCAAACGGAATTCTTCATGATCTTCTCTGAAACACATTCCTTTCAAAGTGTTGCCTGGATCTGAGCTCGCCGATTCCAATTTTTGATTTCTATATTCAATGAATGCTACATCTTAAGAAGAAGAAAAAAACTTTTAATTTCATAATAATTCAGCGTTAAGATATACAGAAAAACTAGAAATACAGCCGAACGTCTATCATCTCTTCTGTGTGCAAACCGTCTCTCTCTCTTCTACTTGCCCAAAGTTCATAGCAAAATTAAAGTCTTTACATTTTGTCGCACGCCATTTAGTGACTGTTTATTAATTTGCTTTATAGATTTTCCTTTATATCCGTTTTCAACATTCCCCACTTTGAGTTTTAATCAAGTTCTGGGTAAAACTCAAACAACTGTAAAGTAGTCACATTTTTCGTTGGTTTTATTAGTCTGCCATAACGTGAACGCTGAGGCTCCGATGGTCGAGTAGGAGTTGGATCCTCAGGTGATACTCTGAAAGCATCAGTTCTTCTCTCCAGCACAGCTCCATCATTGGAATATGATTGGCATAAAGTGTTTCCCTCCTGTGGTAGTCCTCCTGTACCTGGGTCTAAATTAGAGGGCATAGAATGTACTCCATTAGAATCTGGAAACAAAGGAAAGTTAGTAGGGCATGAAGCTGGTTTTTCCTTTTCCTGTAATTCCAAAGGGAACAATTTTTGCACGGGACGTAAAAAGGAACCATATGCTGTTTTTAGAAGCGCTACTCTAACCCTATGGTCTTTTCCAGGATAGAGTTTCATTACTCGCCCTAAATTCCAGTTCAGTCTTTTGGTATGATCATTTCCTAGCAAAACTATGTCTTCTTCATTTAAGATACTTTCTCTTTTCCCCTTATATGCTTCTCTCAGTTGCCCTAGATACTCCGTTCTAAAACGTTTTCTTAAATCCCTTTTCACTCTAACACGATATGCAAATTTCTTTTTTAACGTGTTTGCCTCAATATTGTTCAATTCGGGAACGCCAATTTTTCTAATTTCTTGTAAGAACATTGCAGGAGTCAGAGTTTCCAAATCTTCGGGATCTTCAAAAATACCAAGTCAGCGGTCTTGAATTTATAAAGCTTTCACAATCGCGTAGAACAGTATTCATTTCTTCATGATTTAAAGACGTTTTGCCTAAAGTTTTCCTTAAAATTATCTTCATCAGTCCAATCAACCTCTCCCAGAAGCCTCCCTACCAGGGGGCGTTAGGAGGTATGAATTTTCATGTGATTGGATTTAGCCCCTCTATGTTCTTCAATTTTTCTAAATCCACTTTCTCTAAGAGCCTAGAAGTGCCTTTGAAATTAGAAACATTGTCTGAGTAAATGACTGCTGGTCTTAGGCGACGTGCTATAAATCTCCTCAAACCAAAAATAAAATTTTCAATCGAGATTGAGGTTACCAATTCGAGATGTACTGCACGGTATACTGCACAAGTCAGGATCAAAATCCAAGCCTTTTTTCCTACATTGAGAATAAGAGGACCTGCAAGGATCGACTCCTATAATTTTGAAAATTGCGGCATCTCGTACACGATCTTGAGGCAAAAAGCCTTCTGATACAGTTATTGGTTTCGTCTTAAACCTACTGCAGATGATACAAGACCTGATTACTTCTTTAATAGCTTTTCTAGTTTTCAGAATCCAATAATTCTCTCTAAGATGGCTCATAAGCATTTGGACTCCGGCATGTCCTAAACTTTCGTGCTTATATATAATGAGAGCTTTCACAACTAGATGACAGGATGGAAGTATAATAGGCAAACGGAATTCTTCATGATCTTCTCTGAAACATATTTTTGTTTTTAATCTCAAAATACCATCCGAGTCTTTCAATTACCTGTAAAGAATTTAATTTCTTGTCAGTCTCATTACTGAACGCATCACTCTGTACTTGCTTCAGCAAAGTACGTTCAGCCCTTTTAATTTTATCAGTTATCAATTTCCCTGTTGTTCTATGATATTTTATATTCTTCATATTTGTTATAAATCTAGTTATGCACGCTGTGATTCTGACAAGTTTAACGTAAGCTGAATAACGATAGTAATACTTTTCTTTGCATTGCACCGAAACTGCCGTTACAATAGTTTTTTTCTTTTCGGAATTAACTACCTCCATATTTGGAATGTGTTCTAACTTTGGCCATTCTTCTTCCTTTTTTATGCCAAGAAGGTCCCTTCCACCAACGTTCTTTGATAAGAGTTCTCACCGAACTTCCTCGCGAGGGGAGATCGGCAGGGTTCAGTACACCTGGTACAAATCTCCAATTTTCGTGAGAAGACAGTGTCCTAATCTCTTCTACTCTATTGGCTACGAAAATCACCCATGGCCTTCCTTTTTTATCCAGTAAAGAACATCCATCGAGTCTGTCCAAAAAACTGATGATGCATCTTCCATGTTCAAATCTTTCTTTATTGACGTAACCAACCTTACGCCAATTGTGCAAGCCAATAACTCTAACCTTGGAATTGAGGTTCCCTTTAAAAGTGCGACTTTCGATCTCGCTTGAATCAATTGGCAGGTTACTTCACCACCCTTTTCGGTTCGAAGAAAGACACAAGTAGCATAGGCCAATTTAGATGCATCACAAAAAATGTGTAACGATAGGTTGGCATTCTTGAGTTCAAGACTCAAGAGCTTTCGAGAGATTATGATGTTTTCTAGATCCACCAGCTGGTTTCTCGAACTTTCAAATTTATTTCCTATGTCTAAAGGGAATTTAGAGTCCCACGAAGCTCCTATTTTCCAGCATTCCTGCAACAGTAATTTGGAAATTAAAGTAATAGGACAAGTCACTCCGATTGGGTGGAAAATTCGATGTGCTAACGAAAGTATTTTTCTCTTTGTAATGAATTCTCCTTTTGTCTCTGTTTCTCTGTATGTGACAGACAGGGAATCCTCTTCTAAATTCCACGCAAGCCCCAGTACCTGCGCTTCAGTTAGATCTGCTTTTTGATGCTCATTTTTTCTTTCAAAATTTTGACCAGACTCTTCACTGTTAAGCCATCCACGCAGATCAAACTTTCCCATAGCTAACAGTTCTTTAGCATCTCGTTGGAAGGACTCTAGTTCTTCAACTGAGTCTACACTCGTAATGCAGTTGTCCACATACATAGTCTTTCAGTTTTTCAGCTGCCATTTTCAAATGATCGGATGCATTCTTTATATGATAATTTATAACTGCTGCTAATAAAAATGGGCTGCGCGAAAGGCCGAAAACAACGAGGCAATGCCTGTAAATTACAAACTTATCAGGATTTCCTCCTAACCACAACAAAAGGCGTAGGAAATTCTTATCATTTTCGTGTAGAGCAATTTGTAAAAACGCTTTTCGAATATCTGACATGACACCTATTTTTCCTAATCTAAAACGATTCACAATTGAGGGTATCATTTCAATGAGATTAGGGCCCTTTTCTACACAATCATTAAGTGAATTAAAACTTCTCTGTCGAGCTGAACCATCAAAAACTGGTCAAATCTTAGAATGATAGAATTTTCTTTAAACACAGGTCGGTGGAGTAAGTAGTAAAATTTCCCAGTTTTATTAACCTCATTTAAATCGACTTTTTCGATAATGCCCTCCTTTTCCCATTCGTCAAATACATGTTCATAATCATTTAATCTTCCTACAGATTTTAAAGATCTTACCGTGTTCTTCAATCTTTTTTTAGCCAGTTCAAAACTATCGCCAAGTTTTGCATGGCCCTCAATCCAAGGAATGCAAACAATATACCTGCCTTCTTTATTCCTAGCTACCGTGTTTTCAAAATGCTTCAAAGCGAAATCCTGTAATTCTAATTTTGTTCGCTTTTCATTAGGATCTTTTATGCCTAGAGAATCTAATTCCCATAAATCTGATATTTTTTCAAGATTCGTAAGCATAGACTGCACCAATAGCGAATTTTTTGCTTAGTCAGATTAGTCAAGTCATATTCATATTTAGATTTTCCTAAAACTGTCCATCCTAAATGCGTTTCTACTGCGGCGAGTCCACCAGAAAGTTGTTGTACATTACCAGTTAATAACCTTCCAACAATGTCAGAACCCAATAAGATATGAATTTCATTAACGTCCTTTTCGAAAAAACAAAGCTTCTTATTCATAAAAGAATCGGTTACGAAAATATTCATTCTTTTTAATTCTTGTAAGATGTTATGATCATTAATTCTAGGTATGCCTAAGTAAATGTGTTCCTGACCATTGACTTCCAAAACAAATTTAAATTTTTCATCAAAACTGCATAACTTAATCGCAGTGGCGTAGCTAGAGTGGGGCAAGGGGGGACATCTATCCCCGGGCGCAGCATCCAAGGGGCGCCAAACTGATGCTACGAAATTTTTTAATGAAATGTTTTCCATTCTTGGTACATAGAAAGGGGCGCAAATTCTTCAGTTGTCCCCGGGCGCTGGGAACTCTAGCTACGCCCCTGCTTAATCGTATAGTATTTATCACGGACTGACGTCATTTTTTTACCTCCGAAAAGCCCATGAGTTATCGTTTCTTTTCCTCTGCTCTTCAAACCCATGTTTTTTGCAACATATTTTGAAATATAGCTTTTCTGGCTCCCGGTGTCTATAATCGCCCTCACCAGTTGCCTTGAACTTTCATTCTCAATGTAAACAGTCAACGTTTGCAAAAAAACCTCTCCCTTGCTTTGATTAGTTAGATCGGTAGACTCTGAATCCCTATTATTTATTCGTTCCCTTTTTTGTTTTTCAAAGAAAAAAAAAAAAAAAAACATGATGTAATCCAGAGCAGAATTCACATTTAGTTTTCTTAATGGGGCAGTTCCGCGATGTTTTGCTTTTTGTAAACAATCAAAGCAAGCTCCCTTACGCAATAAGATACTTTTCCGCTCTTCCATTAACGTAAGCCATTTTAAGTAAGATTCATCACTACATTACAACAGTCAGAAGTATGAGTCATGGAATCACAAAATTCAAGTTGTTATATTTTTCTCTTTATTATTCCCCACTGGCTTTGAAGCCGTCAATAATTCATTCGCAGTTGGAACATCCGTTAAATTTTGTTTTTTATTCAGATGCTTATCTCGCGGTAAATTATGTCTGGTGTCTTGTTTTCGATTCATGTTGAACTGCGGTGCTTAACCACCAGGGTGCCTGGGCGCCATAGCCCTACCCCTCATCGAATAACATGATAAAAGTTTCGAATTATGAGAAATATAACTGAATATGCTAAATAATTAAATGAGCAAGAGTTTAAATTCATAATTGCTAATAGTTAAATACATATTTTTTTCCCTTAAGTACCTAATTACTAATCCATACACAATTAACTATTTTTTTAACAACTATTTCACAGAAGAATACATGTACACACAAGAGAAACAAAATACGAAGTGCGACTTGTTTAATTCGAATGATGACTTGTTATTAAAAAATATGTCTTTTCCCGCGCCGTCAATGCGTGTGTAAGATACTCAAGTAAATGTTGAATGTCGTAACTAGATTTGCTTTCTTGTGATTTATTATGTTCTAACACTAAATCAAACGGAATAAGTTTTAATAGCATAGGGCATAAAATACTGCCGTAATATTTGGGAGATACGTTTGATGATTCTAAACTTCTTAATTGCACATTACAGTTATCTCCAAACTTCCTAAAAGACATATCATTAGAGTTTTTCAGTGGCTGCATAATTAGAATCTTGTTCGTATGTGCTGTAATCAATATTTCGGGGTTGGCAAATCTCTCCTTTAATAATTGCACAGCTTTATCATAGGCTTCTGCCAAAATAGGAAAACCCTCCACAGTGTTCAAAGCAGATCCCCCAGATGAGCCTTTAAATAATTAAATTTATCTATTTTGTTTAGCGACTCATTATTATGCACAGCTATTTCAAAACTGTTCCAAAAGGTAAGCCATTTTGAGCCGTCATCTCCATAGAATCGGGCAATATGGTATTTGGGGACTTTAATACGAAGGTTATCAGAATTCGAGATTTGTAAAGGTTGTCACGATTTTCTTTTTCGCATGAAATTTCCAAATCAATACTTTTTCTCTATATTCTTGTGTAGTTTCGAATTCGGTATCAAACTCCTCAAGCTTCAAAAGCGGTTCTAGTTGTTGATCAACTAAAGCTAGAGATTCAAATCAAACAGAAAGAATCTCAATTAACTCATCTATCTTTTCAGTATTTAAAACTGTGTTTACTAATTCAGCTTCTAAATCATTAACTGCCTTCGTAACCGCTGTTCTCAGCGATTTACGTTTCCTTTTTAATAACTCATATGATTGTGCTTCGGCCATATTTTAAAGATATATGGATAAATTTCTAATAATACGATCAATTCAAATATGAAAGATTCAGTAAATGTCTATATTTTAAAATATACACAACACAGTTCACTTTATCACTGTCAATTAATTCAAATACAAATTTTACAGATTAAGCTTCACTGTTTCACAATGATAAAATGATAAAATAAACAAAAGTTATTTCAAATTATTTCTATAAGCATTCATTCCAAGATTCATAAATCGAGCTCAAGTCCCGGCATTGGGATGCCATGTAGAAAACTTTCTATATTATAAATTCTAAATTTTCTAAGTTCTAAAATTCAAGGAAAAAGGTTTCACTTACCTTTGTTCCTTTCAAAGTGTTGCACGGATCTCAGCTCGCCGATTCCTATTTTTGATTTCTATATTCAATGAATGCTACATCTTAAGAAGGGAAAAAAACTTTTAATTTCATAATAATTCAGCGTTAAGATATACAGAAAAACTAGAAATACAACCGAACGTCTATCATCTCATCTGTCTGCAAACCGTCTCTCTCTTCTACTTGCCCAAAGTTCATAGCAAAATTAAAGTCTTTACATTTTGTCGCGCGCCATATAGTGAATGTTTATTAATCTGCTTTATAGATTTTCCTTTATATCCCCTTCCAGGAAGAAATGCAGCAACGAAACGTGTTTTTTCTAATATCAATAAAATATGGACATTTGAAAAAAACGCAGCTGAACATTAAAACTTTAAAATCTGTATTAAGCCTAAAATATAATTTAACCAACTTATGAGAGAAATTCCATGACATTTTAATAAATGATCCAAATTTATTGCAAAATATTCACTCGGATAAAAATATAACCGTTAAAGAAAACCATAATTTTTAATTAAAAAAATATTAAATTAATCAAAAACATAATATTCAAATTATTGTTTTTTTACAAATATCTTTACCAATAGTTAATAATAAATATATTTTTGTATATTTATAGACAAGTATATGAATGTATATAATAAAATATATTTTTTTGAATTATTGGTCTGCCTTTCATAAATAAATTTTAATTCTCATTTCATCAGGGCTGGATAAAAGGCGATTGGGCCCAATCGGGCCCCGCGTTACCATCAAAATGAACAAAAAAAAAAAAAAAAATTCGAATTTAAAGCAGATTGCTTTTGACAATAATGGATAAATTATGAATTATTCAAATAATTAAAAATATATTTATTTTAAGTTCGCATTGCTGGATGAGATTTTATTAACGTTTATTATTATATAATATAGAAAACTGATATCCGTAAAAGTTCATGTCAAATGTATTGAATTTAATCGGGACAGTCCTATATTAGAGAGATTTTGCACTACGGACGTGACCTATTTTACGTACGTAAACTACTATGCAGGTATATGCACGTGCAACTAGTCGTACAACCGTACCTGCCAGTGGTGGATGTATAGCTAGTATCAAATGTCAATTGTTTCTTGCATTTGTAGTTCGCTATTCTTCTAATCGTTATAATTATTAGAGTCGTATTTTGTGATTACAATTACTAATTGTCGAATAAGGTAAGTACTAATTATATTACATAATCTTTATTAACAAACAATTATTTGTAAAATTAAAAACTGAAGTTTATTATGTGATTTAAAATGGATACCTAACCTATAACTTTATCATTAGATGTCGAATCCACTGAAACAAAAAAGAGAACACATGAAAAATCAAAAAATTATTTGGTAGCTATGTTAAAATGTATAGAGCTTCAAAAAAAGACTTTCTGCTAAGCAAACAATAGATAATGTTCAACTGAATGTGTTGAACCAAGAAAAAATTCGTTTGTATAAGATATTTGAAAGGGGC